TATCCAGGAAAGCCCGCACATAATCGTAAAAGGATGGTCCTGCCATATTGGGTTTGTTATTTTAATATGTTTTCAGACAATTGATGATGAGTGTTTACACAAGTGGGAGGAAGCCGGAGTGCCCGGAGAAAACACACGCACGCACGCGCGAGAGGGGGGACAACACTCAATGTCCGTAGATATGGATACACATGGCAATTAGTCAACTTGCTGTACCGCCTCCTACTGGTGAGCTAGGGTACGGCATCTCCTCGACGCCAACGGGGAGGGAGTGTCACAACATTCGTGTGGCGAACCACCAACTATCGCTTTTACAGTGTTTATTTTCTAGGCGTGTGTCACCCACTGCCCACAATACTTTAGACACAAAAGGAACGTTAGTCTCCACTTGTTTTTATTAATTGTTGACGGAAATGGTTCCATAGGGCGTGTTTATATGGGTGTATTGAACAATAAGGTGAGACGGTAACTACCTCACCTGGTATACAGGAGGTCGTGGGTTTGATCCCAACCCTGACGCCTGCTGCTGTATATTTTTAGTTTGTGTGTTCTCCCTATGGTCGCGTGGATTTTTCTCTGGGTCCTCCGGTTTTTCCCTCGACATTTAGAGACATTTGAACACGTAGGCTTTCGCGACCAATATCATCCATAACAGAAGTTTTTTTGGATTAGATTGCGTAAACATATCAATGCGTCGTTAAAACCCGCCACCACCCGACACAGCCAACTAGAAAGAGGTTGTCACGTAAACAGAACGTCGTGAGAATCGTATTGTTTATTATTTTTATTATTTAATTGTTTCCCTTCTACGTGGTGACTTTACCAAAAGAACCAAGAATATGAATCCCTGCAGTCACGAAAGCTTTAAATCAAGAAACATCTATATATTTACGCGATCTAACCCCAAAACCTCTATTATGGATTTAGAGACATGCTTTTAGATAATTTGTCTGCTATACATTCCAAATGATAAGCTACTTTTTGGATTTAAAGCTTTCGTGACTGCAAGGATTCATCTTCTTTGGTTCTTTCGGTAAAGTCACGTAGAATGAGAATAAAATAATAAATTGATAAAATAAAATAGCACAATAAAATTCTCACGACGTTTCGGCCACAACACAAGCGGCCTTCATCAGGTGAAGGGACGAGACTGTCTGGAGGACAGCGCTGGAGCGAACACAGCCACGCTCAGATCGCGACCTTTAAGCTGTGTGAGAAGAAACAAAGCGCCTTGACAAAGGAATTAGCATAGAATTTAGCATTGAAATAGCTGAGTTTAGCTATTTCTTCTCACACCAAAGAAGATAAGCTACTTCATTGAGTATTGATTTGTGACCAGGTCGCTTCTGAAAAAGAACTATATAGCTTAGTGGGTCTTACCTGGTAAAATAAAAAAATAGTTGATAGTTTGGTTTATAAGATCCGCAGTTTATTTTAAGCCATACCTATCACTTTCTCGTGTCACGTCAAATGTGCCATGGCTGTTCGCGACAGACATTTATGCGTTCATAAGTTAAACGCTCGGCATATTACAATGTTCTCTAGTCGAGTCTTCAGTGGCGTTCTTGTTGTTACGTCACCCTGGCATTACCGTGACAAATGGCACAACCTCACCCAAGCGCAAACTTGCAATGCGTTCGTATTTGTGTTACCTTACTCCTAATTACATTTCGTCAAAACATTCAGTAGCTTGGCAGTCACTCGGTAAAAAAATATTTTCCAGCGATAAAACTGCCGCCTTAATCTATGATTATCAGATGTTCTTTCATTCTTAATCGGAGGGAGATTCTAGGAAATGAAGAAGAAAGTACAGTAGCTGAACTTTTCAATTCCAAATCAAAGTTGAAAGCCTTTATGCATTAGCTCTATCCGTCCGTCTGTGTAATGGGGAGGGGGGGGGGGTGAGGGGGGGGAGGCACTATTTCATTTGTGAACATGATCGAATACGAACCACACTTTAGTAGAATGCTGTGCTGATGTTCGGGCAGTGCCCTGTTCAAAATTGGCCTAATTGATGAAACCGTCGCTCAAAAAGCAAAATGGACCATTTGCGAGCGTGCTAATTAATTTGTCCTCGATAGCTCCTTGATTAACAGCCCATACTTTGAGACCAGTGGTTCTTAACCTTTACCGCAGCCTTGCACCCCTTTGGTTCTCCAAATTGTAAAACAATTAAATGCACAATGTTAATACATACGTAGGGTTTGATGAAACAAAGTAAGTTGCACTTACGTGCCCGTGCTTAGTTCGTGTTTTGAAGATTTACCTTTGAGATTTACCTTTTAAAAACGTCTGGGCATGTCTCGCACCACCAGAAAGGGCGTCTCGCTCCCTCAGGGGGTTCTTGCACGCCGGGTTAAGAACCGCCGCTTAACGCTATTCGTTCCCACAGTCTGGTTCGCGCTGCATTTTGGTTGTGTAGTTGAAGAATGTTTCTCTGCTAATTATTGCGCAATTGGGAAAAAATAAAAAAACGTAATAACTGTCATCCTCTACTGAGAGACTTAACAGGACCCTGATGAAATATAAGCTGATGTTCTCCTGAGTAAACAAAAGTTTTACACATACGCTTCCACAGACAAACACATGTTGCAAAGCATTACCCCAGTGGTTCTTAACCTGGGTTCGATCGAACCCCACGGGTTCGGTGAGTCGATCTCAGGGGTTCGGCAGAGCCCCCGCCACGGAGGTCCGGACACACTTGAATTATTGTGTAAATTTGTGATGACACACACGGCCCGCTTGGCCATCACTGGCTGCAGATGATCATGCTACACTGCTTGGCCAATCAGCGCTGCGGGGAATTTAGTGCGTACTCAGTAGTCAACGTGTGACTGTTGTTGTCGTACGTCGTGTGATTTCTTTAATATTTTATCCATACTAACTATGTCGGGCAAAAGAAGAAAGTGGTCGGACGAATATGTACAACATGGATTCTCATGTATCACGGAACGTGATGGGAGTGAGCGTCCTATCTGCATGATTTGCAACGCCAAGTTGAGCAACTCTAGTCTTGCACCGGCAAAACTAAAGGAACACTTCTTGAAGCTGCATGGAGACGGAGAATACAAGAACACAACACTTGCTGAATTCAGGGTGAAGAGAGCCAGATTCGATGAAAGGGCCACTCTGCCTGCTCTTGGATTTGTACCTGTTAACAAACCGATCCTGACAGCATCGTACGAAGTTGCTTACCTGATCGCAAAGCAGGGCAAGCCACACACCATTGGTGAAAAACTTGTGAAACCAGCTGCATTAAAGATGGCGAATCTGATACTCGGAACAGCGGCCGAAGGTAAATTATCCCAAATTCCCCTTTCAAATGACACCATCAGTGACAGAATAGAAGACATGAGTAAAGACATCTTGGCTCAAGTAGTCGCGGATCTGATTTCAAGCCCGGCAAAATTCAGCCTTCAACTCGACGAAACCACAGACGTTTCTGATCTAAGCCAGCTTGCTGTTTTTGTACGCTATGTGAAAGACGACATGATAAAAGAAGAGTTTTTATTTTGTAAGCCTCTTACAACAACAACGAAGGCAGCCGATGTGAAGAAGCTTGTGGATGACTTCTTCAGAGACAACAATCTTTCATGGGATATGGTTTCTGCAGTTTGTACGGACGGAGCTCCAGTCATGCTGGGAAGAAAGTCTGGTTTTGGTGCGGTAGTAAAGGCCGATGCACCACACATCATTGTGATGCATTGTATTCTGCACAGGCATGCGTTGGCAACAAAAACCTTACCTCCAAAAATGGCAGAAGTATTAAAAACTGTGGTGGAATGTGTGAACTATGTGCGAAAAAGTGCTCTGAGGCACCGCATCTTCAGTGAGCTGTGTAAAGAAATGGGCTCTGAATTTGAGGTACTTCTGCTCCATTCTAATATTCGGTGGTTATCCCGGGGACAGGTGCTGAATCGTGTTTTTGCCATGCGTGTGGAATTAGCCCTGTTTTTGCAAGAGCACCAACACTGCCATGCAGATTGCTTCAAAAATCCTGAGTTCATTCTCATTTTAGCGTACATGGCTGATATATTCGCAGCTCTCAATCATCTCAATCAGCAGATGCAGGGTGGTGGAGTCAATATCATGGAAGCGGAAGAACACCTGAAGGCTTTTCAAAAAAAGCTACCGTTATGGAAACGACGAACAGAGAACAATAACTTCGCAAACTTCCCGCTTCTGGACGACTGTGCAAGTAAGATCGAAGATGTGTCTGGAATCGGAGATATTTCTGTATCCACGGAACTGAAGCAAACAATTGCCACGCACTTAGATGAGCTTGCAAAGTCTCTCGACGGATATTTCCCTACAAGAGAGTCATATCCAGCATGGGTGAGACAGCCGTTCACGTTTGCTGTTGAAACAGCAGATGTCAATGATGAATTCCTCGACGAAATCATTGAAATTCAGCAGAGCCAGGTTCAACAGCAACTCTTCAGAACAACAACGCTCTCAACGTTTTGGTGTCGACAAATGAACAAGTATCCAGTTATTGCTAAGAAAGCCCTGGATTTTTTTATACCATTTGTTACAACATATCTTTGTGAGCAATCCTTTTCGAGGATGCTGGACATAAAAACGAAGAAAAGGAACAGACTTTGCTGTGAAAATGACATGAGAGTGGCACTTGCCAAGGTGAAGCCACGCATATCTGAACTGATCTCTCAAAGGCAACAGCAGAAGTCACATTGATTTCCAGGTATGTAATTTGTTGTGAGTTTATGCATTGTGTTGGTTTTATTCTTTGAACAAGGTAATGTTCATGCACGGCTCATTTTGTGTACCAGTAAAAAACATATCTATGTCTTGAATTTGAAAAAAATCACATTTTATTTTTCACTAAAGAGGGGTTCGGTGAATGCGCATATGAAACTGGTGGGGTTCGGTACCTCCAACAAGGTTAAGAACCACTGCATTACCCTAATCCACGCATATCCACGTTTTTTTTCCTAACTTATATTTTATTTTGTGATTTTGTTGTTTTGTTTACGTTGCAGAGAACTACCTGAGCTTCACCGAGGACCTTCTGTCAGGGTCCATGTCGCCCTGCGTTGTGATTGGCCGTAACGTGAAATCAGGCCCCCTGCCCGGCGTCTTCACGCTCATCTTTCAGTGCCTGCGTCCCGACACACTTCACAAGTGAGTCCCGCGGGAGACACTACTTCCGTGTGCTCCTGTGTGCACCCCATCTCGTTCATGCCCCCCCCCCCCCCGAGATAATTCGGTGTAAAACGTGTGCACCGAATTTAATCGGAAATGTTTAAGCGGGGTCAGTTTATACTTTTTCGCCAGATTAGAACCTGAGGTGCCAGGATGAGTCTCGTTTTCGAGAGTAAACTTGGGCATTAGTCTGCCACTTGGGGACAATGATTGCTATGTTTTATCCAAATTGAGCAATTTGCGGTGTGATTTTTTTAATTTTGAAAACACATTGACCCTGAGGCCCGGCCTTTTCCTGCGAGCTACGTGAGGGGATCTTTAACGTCGTATCATTGTGGTGATTTCCGCTAGGCCACGTCACCCCTCAATTTGATTATCCGTGGTATTTCCACCAGTGGTGGAAATTCCACATTTCTATGGCAGGATACGTCTCTGAAAACACCTTTTTTTGGTTGAGTTTCTTCAAAACGGTACTAATTTTATTATCAGCGAGGGAATTCGATTCCCCGTCATGGCCAACATTAGTGATGAATATTTGAACCGGTCTTGGGCCTCCCCTAGGTTAACCCAGCCTTAAATAAGCACCTGATGAAGTGTGTAAGCATCCGCATTGGGGAGACAAAGTCGGCCAGGCGTGTTGTTCGCCACCCACCCCCTCGTATGCCATGTCAACCTTCACAGGTGCCTGCTAACAACATTTGCCCCAAAAGTCTGATAAAGCCTATATGGGGGATCTTTAAATTTTTTTGTATTTAGATACAAAGCACTACTTTGCTTTCTATTTAAGGAGGGATTCATTAAAAAACATGTTCAATCGTGTCCCATTGATGCCAATTATATTAATTACAATTGGCCTCGGTGCTCAATTGTTGAATTCCATCAGAACTACTGCCACACGTATAATTGTATTTTCTCTTGTGCGCAACTGTGTAAATCACAACGCCACTGAATATACCCTCGTGCAATTATTTTCACATGTCTAATTAGTTGGAAGACTTTCCTGAGAGAAGTTTGCCGAATGCATTTTTGTGTAACTTTATTTACTCACGGAGGCATGTTGGACTCTGATTCACGAAACGCATTTATATTGTCGTAGAATTCTTGGCAATAATAATTATAATGCCGACGTTCGACAGCGTTGTCTTCACCGTGGGCGTAAACGTAAGAAATATTAATTTGCACTCACACGCACGATTAAAAGCACGCATCTTGAGTGAATGAGTCAAATTTAATGAACGTCACGCACGCGAACTGAAAGCACTACACTACGTTAGGCAGTCTCTGTAAGGCTTCACAAGTCTGGCAACCAAGGGAGATTGAAGACCTGTACGTATACATGCTGAACTTCTTTCGCATCGTACGTAGCCAGCCGTGCTAGGTGCGGAGAGCAGATGGTGGGAGATTCTTAAGGCACGTTTTTGGAGGTCGCGCGTCGACCGCGCAGCAGCCGCGACATCTGGGGTAGAGAGCGTCGGTGAGGTGCGGCGCCGTCAACAGCCGTGGCCCGTGGTGACGTCGCGACCGTGATCTCGATCGTCGCGTCGCCTCTCAGGTTCACCCTGCGCGCCGTGGACCGCACGGGGCGACGCTCGGAGCCGTCCTCGCTTGTGATGCGCATGCCCTGCGAGGTGGTGGATGACAACAAGGCTGAAGGTACAGCCCCCCCCCTCGCCCTCACCCCGCTCCCTCCCTAATTAGTAGTGCCACTGTTTTCCACGTTTGGGGTGGGATTATGGGTGGGCGGAGGGGGGGGTAACGTACTCTACAGAGGAGTTAAGACTGGTTGAAGTCGCGCTTATTCAACGTTAAGCGCGTGGTCCAAAAACTAATTAAAATGGCTAATTTGTATTCTACCAGGTAAGGCCCAATGAGCTGTGTAGTTCTTTTATCATAAGCGGCCTGGCCACACGAAGCGGCCTGGCCAACAAAGTGGCATATTGCGTGTACATTTATAGCAGCCAAAAATACTCTGAATGTGGAGGGAAAAACCGGAGGACCCGGAGAAAATTACACTCGACCACGGGGGAGAACACGCAAATTGCACAAAAATATGCAGCAGGCCTCAGGGTCGGGATCGAACCCACGACCTCCCGTGTACCAGGCGAGGTAGTTAACATCTCGCCGAGAGTGAGAGCGCGTCACTCGCCCGCTCTCGCCCGTAGACGTGGCGGACCGCGTGCACACGCTCTACAACGGCTACACGAGCGGCAAGGAGCAGCTGTCGGCCTACCAGTTACTCATGGAGGTGACGCCCTCCGCCCTGCACCGCGTGCAGCGCCACTACAACAAGCACTACGGCAAGTTCGGAGACTTCGCCTGGCGCACCGAGGACGAGCTGGGACCCCGGTAAGGGCTGTGGCGGTGGTAGTGGACGATCGTGGTCTGCAGATCGAGCATGGTGGAGACAGCAAGAGGTTGGTTGTATCAGCCACAGTACGCAGCCCCTGTAAACCCTCCCTTCCCATGTAACGCGCTCACTACCATCGTATCAGCCACTTTGGCCAGGTTGCCATTGAAAATGAGCTTCTTAGCTTAATGGGTGTTACCTGAAATAAACCAAAGGTTTGCGCATACTGCACCATGCTGGTCAGGTTAGTGAGGGAAAGGGACGTGGGACGTGTGACTAGATGAGCTATCACTTGCTATTGAATCTTAGCAGTGGCGGAAACTCGAACTCAAATCTCTGGGTTCAAAGTGCAATGCACTCACCACTGCACCACTTCTTCACGCCCCAGACATGATTTTCTTTTTAAAAGGCACTGGACGCCGCCTTTAATTTGCCATCGTTGGAAATACACTTATGTTCAGAGCTGCTCTCTGGGCGTTATTTACCAGTTATGGGTAATGCTGTTCCACATAACAACGCACTGGGAAATACAATTTTCCCAAAATATAAATGTTTCTGCTCTGAAATATTTTTGGCCTCGGTTAGATTTCTCAAAAACCTATTACGAAGCCCCAGTGTGAAAGAGCACATCTCCGCTGATGGTATCTGACCCTTTAATGGCAAAAAAAAAATTGGGGAAAATATTTTTAAAATGCCATTAATGTTGCGATTACATATTTTAATAAATGTGATGTATTAAATATTAAATAACCATTATATAACTTACTTACTGCCGGGAAATAACTGGGAACTCCCTCTGTTGGTGTTGCCAAAACCTTCAAGGGAATTCGTGCATTTGCTCACATCCAGGGCTTGAGTGTGACATTAGGGATTATACAGCTGAGGTCTTTGCACCACAGAATTCTTCGAATTCTAATTTCCACCAATCGGCAAATGTGCCAGATCCGATTGACGTAACATTGGGGGCTATCTTTTAGAATTTTGGTTCAAGTAAATTCTCCAACGTTATACCCTGCTAGCTGTATTTATGTATCCGTTTATTAGAAAGAACATCTTAAAGGAATGCTTTGGCAGTGGTGCACAAGCAGTGCTCAATAAATGGCAATTATTAACCCTGTTAAGCCTCACTGAGTCTCAAAGCTCTTCAGGAGGGTCCTGCTGTGAGATGGACAGTTTATAAATCGAGCCGAGAGGAAACTAGAGCAACCAGAGACAACCCATACATTAGAGGATGGGTTAACATTCCGCAAGGCCATCTCCTGTCCACCTTCCCGCTGCACACGTGGCCAGTCCTGGTAGTCACTGGCAAGTGTTAATCAGGCTCAAAACTGCTTAGCTTCCGAGATCTCCAGAAAGTCTGCATGCATTCGTGATTAACACGACATGTGTTCATTTTGCAATACCAGCGTTTAATTCTCATTTGAATTCAAAATTCCACGTTGCTGTGGTAACTGCGGTGTGCAAAGAAGCAATTGTGTTCGGCTATTGCACAACACGCATTGCCCATGCGGGTAACTCATGTTGCTGTCATCAACATTACACCCATTAGCCCCGTTCCCATTGCATGTTAACTCCTCAGCAAATGACATGGCTCTTAAAGATCCATTATGTTCAGACATTGGGGCCTGTGGCATATGGTTTTCAATTACGAGCAGGATCTCCAAATTGCCATGCTTTGACGTCACCGCAGCCCCTTGATCATCGAGTGTGACAATCATCTCGGCCTCTCTCGCCCATTATCCTCAACGCTCCACAAACGTGACATTCCGGTTTCGTTCGGTCAGCCGCAGGTTTCTGTGCGCCCACTTCAAAACGCGACACTCTCCTTTGTCGTGTCCTCAAAAGCCGTGTGCGTCACGTCCACCACCTGCATTGTGACACTCTGGTGTTTTGCCCCCCGAGTAAATTTTATTTTTTTATTGACCACTGACGTTTTTCCTATTGTGCTCCAAGCAATTATTGTGTAACGTGCATCGATGTATCGATGGTGAGACCGGTGTCGGAGTTGATGATGACGAAATCACCCCCGAGTTGCGTATGACGTCGTCGCATCCCAGAGGCCGAGCAGGATAACTGCTGGTCCATAATATTGATTTTTTTGGGGGTTAGATCGCGTAAATCACGTAAATGTTTACGCGTAAATCGCGTAAACAATCTAGCCCAAAAAGCCTACATTATGGATGATATACGTGTTAAACATTACTACTGCTGGTGTTAGTACTTGGATGGGGAGACCAACTGGGAATGACCCAGGCTACTGCTGTAAGCGTGGGGCTGGAAGCGGTGGCCAGGAAATTGTTGCGCTGAGCGTCACCCCCTCGTACGTGCGGTGGGGGGTTTTCTCCCGGCTCTCCGGTCTTATCCCACAGGCCAAACGCGCATTAATGCAATTGGCCAAGCTTCCCCAATGCAACGGACCCTTCTACCCAATTGATGGTTTCCTTTGTAAATTACTGACACGATTATTCCGAATTATTATAAATCAACCACACTTCTACTCTTAGATCATTACAACTTCATCTGTTTGTGTTCAGCCCTTTATATCTCCAATAATCTTGAGACGAGATCTTTAATTCCTTTACTTTTTCATGATTGAATAATGACTCGGTTGTCCCGGCACTATCAAACCAGGGCCAGAAAGATATATAAAACTTATTTAGAAAGATTGAATACCTATCGTGCAGTAAGTAACAACACACAAATCAGAATGTGAATCACGCAATAAGATATAATCTCGCCAAGGCTAAAACAAATCTTCTAAGTTATAATAGTTTATTTTCTTTTTATATAATTATTGTGAGTATTAATGCACACTTTTTGCACGACAGAGACACAGTATCATAAATTTCTATACTTTGTATTAAAAAAAACTGAAATTATCAAAAGCATGAATGAAGAACAAAAACGACTTTAGTGAGATCGCACAAATAAGATGAGAACGTACGGATCAGAAAGGGAGTCATGCAAGCGGATACCCTCTCACAATAGCTTAAGCACACACGTGTGCAAAGTGAAATATAACATTGGTTTTCACATACGAGACGTTGTATATTTTTTGCTCAGTCGTACAAAGCGCGCAATCTTTGTTACGGTAAATTTTTGAGAAGCGTTTCAAAGCTCGGGCAGACGGCTGCCCTGCTACAGAAGTTACAGGGCGGGCCAGTGTCCTTGGTGGGGGGGAAATCCCGTAAATTTGCTCCAAATCTCCCATGACGGAATTGCCTCTTGCGTGCAAGACACGAGCATGGGAAATGAAAAGGGGAGCCCCCCCCCCCGCTCCCCCGCCCCCCCCCCCCTCTTGAAAGCGCCGACAACTTGGTTCCCACGTCACTTGCGTCGCCGGTTCCGTTGAGCAACGGGGATCCGAGTGGAGGTGACTGTTGTGCCACTCGTGGCATTTCACCCACCTCCCCCACCCCCGAACGGAGAATCAATGGTGCACGGAGCGTGTGCCTACGAAAGCGCGGTGCACGCGCACGCACGCACGCCCCCACGCGCACGTGATTCCGTGGGAGAAACAATGGGTCCCACGCCAGAAAGCGCAAGTGGTGGTGAACCTTCAAACAATGCACACGCAGTTTTTTTTTGAGTAACGATTATAATTAGTTTTGCTACACTGCGTATTGCCATTGCGTCACACGTGTCCCTGTAATTTTGTCATCAGAGGTAGCCAATCTTGCTCCATAAGGGTAGGTTGTGGAATGGTTGCACCGCGGTTAGTGCCCTGTAATATGAACACGCCGGACCTGGGCTCAAATCCACTTTTAATATCAAATGCGAGCGATATCTGAACTGGTACCGCCCTCGCTAGACACGTACCAGCGTGGTGAAGTGTGGTCAAACAAACCCCATGATCAAAAGGCATTGGGAGAGGCCTTCATCCAGCATTGTATTGACAGAGCGGCTGATTGTTCAGTTGAGTGCGTAATCTCCGAGCCATGTGGTGCCTAATCGCCGTAGAGCTCTGCTGAACTTAGTCAGTGGACAGTCATTATGTTGTTGTCCTTCCCTCGCGCCTCCGATTTGCACAGTTGGCTACGCACGGCGCGAAAGAAGTTCAATATGCATACGTACGTCAACGATACGCGGCACCGTTTGTACGGTGCCACAGCTGCGGTGTGGGTCATCGCGAAGACCCAATGGCGGAGGTTGGCTCCACAGGTGATCACAAATCAGAATCTTATCCGTCCTGGAGAAATCCGATGAGCTATAAAGCTCTATATTCGCGGATGAGACCTTACCCTGTCCAGAGCCTGTTCAGCAGGGTCCAGACCGACGGCAGTTGGATAAAGTTGAATAGAGCTGCAGGAAGATTCTCGATAAGGAACTGATGTTGCTGCCGATTTTTTTCCCCACCATTCCTGCCCCCAGCCGCTCTCCGCCAAGCAAAAGCGCTGTAAAAAAATGGATTTCATTTTTATGCGTGTGCGTGCTTGCCAATGATTGTGCAGCTTGGATGAAGCCTGTGCTTGGTGGTTCTCCGCTGCATTGGAAGCACCGCTCAACTTGCCTCATTCATGTTTTACGTCTCCTTCACTTTCTTATGCAACGGAGTGATTTCAATTTGGAACCCTTGGCGGATGAGCATGGAATCCTCTGGCGTCAGAGCGTTGCCTTTGACAGTGATGTCACACACGACGGCTATTCGTGAAGTCCCTTTAACACAAGCCCTCGTTTTCTGCCGGTTGATGCACCTTTTCCCGTGCCCCGCGCGTCACGTGGCAATGTCCACAGCGAACATTTTAATCTCGAACTCAATTTAACAACGATTTGTTGTTGTTGCAAACTGAAAAGTGCGCGCAAAGGAGAGAGAGAGAGAGAGAGGATGCAAGCTTTGAATTTAAAATTGAGAGACGGAAAGAGGAACACGTGCCTTAGAGAATGCAGGCAGGCGAAAGACATCTCGAACGCTGCTAAGAAAAGTAAGTGCGCTTGGGAAGGACCCGCCGCAAGAAGAGATGATGGCTACAGCCGAAAGGACGTACACTTAGGAGGTGGAGCAATGAAATCGGCTCCTGTGCAGGCGTTAAGTAGAATGTTAAATATCGTGGGATCGTGAGGAACGGTGGTTAATTGGGGGGAGGCCGTCAACCAGCATGGAATTGACCAAGGCCGATGATGGTTGTGGTGATTTTTGTTGCAATAACCAGGCTGAGGCAATCAACTCCTTTGCACTTGAGAACCCAGTTTATGCGCAGAGAAGATGAGAGAGAGAGAAAACGCTGGTGTGGTTCGGTCATGTTGAGAGTCGGCAGGAAAATTACATGGGTCAGAAGGTGCAAGTGATGCAAGGGGAAGGAAAGAGATCAAGAGGAAGGCAGAAGAATAAAACCGGTGGGGGGGGGCGATGTGGTGCGATCGGACAAGTTGGCCCGAGGAGCGGAAAGCGAGATGGCGCAGGATGGGGCGGCGTGGAGGAGGTCGTCAAGGACAGCGGACACCCCCACGTGAGTGGGACAAACGCGTGGAAGAAGAAGGAGAGGCTGGAAGTCAGCATTAAAGCTTAGGACGTCAGCGGCTCTGGCTGAGTGACTCTTGACACAGCCTTAGGCCCCCTGACTCGCCGCAACCACCGCCAGCCACGGTCATCCTTGGGCAGCCTGCTCTCACCAATAATCTCAGCTTCACAAACACACGCGCGCTTAATCATAACGTCCTTCGCGATGTCTCCGTGCTTACGAGTGCGTGCACAATGCAATTTATTACACAGCACCCAGTGACCCAAAGCCGGCCAGGGCTCTACCCTCTGGCTCGCTGCCAATATAAATTCCGTGAAATTACATTGCGCAAATTAGCGTTTGTGAACTGTGTTAACGGACACTAATTTCAAAACGTTAAATTGAACAAAAGGTTGAAGCGCGTGCCAATGATTATGGGGGGAGGCGCACGCTTGGAACTTGACTGTGAAACAGTCAGAGGAGCAAAATGAATCAGATGCTAGCTACTCTATCGGGACACCATATTGGTGCTCAAGACCAACAAGGAAGTGGCACGAGGATCACGGCCAGTCGTTAGGCATGATGTCCGGCGTTTCGTTGCACGAGCCGGGAGCCTCTTCAAGGAAGTGAATTGGTTCGAACCCGGTGACCCGAGTTGGACATCGGTGTGCGATTCCCTTCAGCTATTCGGGGGCCTTCCCCAAGCTGACTCGGCCTGAAATAAATACCTGGTAGGTTTGGGTAAACATCAGCATGGCGGAGACAAAGGCGACCGGGCGTGGTGTTGGCCACACCACCTTTTGTAATAATTAATGATGTTATTGTTAATAATATTATATTATTATTAATGTAATATTATTATTTACTACGCAACAACAGGTACAGGAGAGCGCAGAACCGGGGTGGACGGTGTCCGAGCATGAACACGTTTAGCGATAGAGGCCCCGAATGACGATCGAGGGAACAACGGAGAAGCGATGAAATGAAAGTGGAAGAGAGGGAAAGCTGGAAGAACAGAAAGTAGATTCAATCAAAGAGGGAAGAGTGAAGTGGCAAGTGGAAAATACGAAGATGGGTCAGTGGACTCAAATCCCAAGCGAGTCAACAAAAGCAATAAGCGAACCACGCGTCAGCGCCACAAAATGTACCCCTTGAGTTTTAATCATCGTCAGTCTTAATTAATCCACTGCTGGATGAAAGCCTCCGGAAGCCTCCACCCACCTCTCACTATCCCGCAATGCAACAATCCGTTTCAGCGCCGTGCCTTAATCGGTGCTCGCTAACAACACCCGCCCCAGAATTGCGTACGACCGCATGCGAGATGCCTGTATCTCTGTTCCTGTCGTCAGTCTGTTGGTGTGCGCGTCTCTTTCTCTCTCTGCGATTCACACACCCCCCCCACAGGAAGGCCAGCCTGATCCTGCGGCGCCTCGGGGAGGTGAGCGCACGCTGCGCCGCGCTGCTCACCGAGCCGTCCATCTACATGCACACGGTGTCCATCCCGTACTTGGTGTGTCGCGGTCTGGGGGGACCCCCTCCTTGGGGATTCCTGCGACCCTCCGACCTGCCGCGCGTCTGCGAGGAGCGCTGGCTCAGCGTGCTGCGCAACTTCTTCCCGGAAAACGCCGAGGGCTAAAAAATAAATAAAAATAAAAAAATAACAGATCCTAGATCGCCCCCTAACCCGCGGAAGGGCAGCGAGGCCCCACAGGTGCCCTCGTTCGTTCCCGAATTTTGAGGGCGCGTTACGCCTGGCTTTTGTTATACATCACCTGTTGAATTTTCCCTCCTTTTTAAATTCCTATTGTGTTCTCGGCTCTTTAATGGCGAAGAAAAAATGCTTGCAAAAAACATCCAATAGCACCCCCCTAAACCGCCGGTAGGGCAGCCAGGCCCGGATGCCCTCGTTCGTTCCCGAATTTTTAGGGTGTGTTACGCCTGTAATTTGTTTCATATATATACGTTACCTGTTGTCCCCCACCCCCCCGTACTTTTGAAATTCCCCACTGCATTCTGGATTCTTTAATAACGATTTTAAAAAAAAGCTTACAATAAAAAAAATCCAACAGTACCCCGACAAGCTTAGCGCAGAGAAAATGATGGCGTTGGGCACCAACCGGTCCCTATTGGTTGAACTCAGTGGTTCTTAACCTGGGGTGCACGCTACACCCCCTGGGGGTACGAGATGCCCTTTCTGGGGGTAGCGAGGCATGGCCAGACTTTGTTTAGAAGGTAAAACGTCGAAAACACGAATTAAGCACGGGCTCGTGTGTACGACCACTTTGTTTCGTCAAACCCCTATGTCGTTATTGCCATTAGACTTTTTTTAATGATTGAGAACCAAGGCCGCAGTAAAGGTTAAGAACCGCTGGTTCAATCAGCCGGCGGCTCCGCAGCGGTGAACACTTGTGTCCGGCGGCGTAGCTTTTGTACGCTCTTGTGGCCGTGTAGCTCTCCGGCGTGGTTTTCGCGGCCGTGCCGCTGCGCGTTGTTCGTCACGGAGCCCGACGTTTTGCTTGCGCCTGCTTGGGAACTTCTTCCGAAAGGGTGCATCGGTTCAGTTCCGAACTCTCTGAATTGGCTCTTCGGTCCTTGAAGGTGAAGTTCCTAGCACGTGGAGCAAAGCGTCGGACTTGGCGGCAAGCAACGCGCGGTACGAGTGGTAATTAACTCACCTTGCGGCGTTAGGTCGAGTACGACCTCTGGTGACATCTACGACCATACTCTGCCATCCACACCTTGCTGCTTCTCGTAGCTGGGTTAGTGTAAGGCCGGTGGTGTTCTTGATGTCGTCCATCCACCTCCTCTGAGGTCGGCATACAGATCCTAGATGTCAGTGAACTCGGATGGACAGGAATGGGGCACTTTAATTCGGATGACTGTAAGATTCTATACTCGGGCCACGAATCGTACAAGAATAATGGAGTGATTGTAAACTGGGCATTTGACTGCTGCGCCTGAATAAACACGCTTGGTGGTAGCCGTGTGACCTATGGAAATCTATGATGACCACAGCCTCCGATTTAAACACTGGTGTTTTATGTTATTTTTGTTGTCGTGTTTATTTTACATCGCCGCACTCCTTTTTCTAGCGTATGCCAAGTAGGTGTAAATTATACGTCCAGGTTTAAGTTTGTGTGCCATGTGGTAGCTTCGGGGAGGAGCGGGCCTCGTGGAACGCGTCGAAAGACTTCCCATTGAGACTTTGGTTCGGAACCTCGTCAGAAATCCGTGGAGTTCGCCAGCGGTGACCAGTGAACCCCGCTTCATCCGATTGTCTCGCGCGGCGATCCCAGATTGCTTTCCGGGATCTCAGTCGAGTTCGTGGAGGGTCGAACAAGGTCTTGGATTAACGAGAGGTAGGCCAAAATACCCTTTAGAGGGCCTCTATAGATCTCCCTCTAGTGGCTATTCTTCCTCTAGCTGTGATGTGGTCAAGACATTGTAGGGCTGCATCTTTACCTTCTACTTCAAGTGAGACTTGCTTCACACTGTGGCTGTCTTCCCACAGTGCTTTGCAGCTCAGACACTTTGACGTGAGTCTTTATGTTGAACGGTATATTTTCGTTGCATGCAATTATTTTGGCTTATCAAACTGGCTTTTGTTTAACAATAAAGGAAAGAAGGATATTGATAATTTTAATTGATATTTTTAGTTTGTTCACTGGACTGCCGTACATTCTGTGTGCTTTATGTCTGTATTACCTCCATGCTTGTGTGCGCTGGCGCGTTTGATAGACACGCTCGTGATGTGGAGAGCGCTAAGTTCCGTGGTGAGTGCATTGCATGTCAAACCTGGGTGACCCGCGTTCGATTCCCGGCTAGAACTCACACCTGTGAAAAATATCTCAGGCAGTCCAGGGTCTTCCCATGAGGTCAACTCAACTTTAATTGAGTATCTGCCAGGAGGGGGGGACATTTGCACTGGGGAGACAAAGGTGGCTGGGCGCTGTACTTTCCACACCACTCCCTCGCACGCTGTGCCGGCCTTATATGTATGTTAAACTTCTTTCGCACCATACATCGCCAACCGAGCTATTCGGAGGTGCGGGGGAAGGACAACAATCTAAATACAAAAAGCAGTTCTAGAGGAATGCCTTTTAAATCTAGATAAAAAAGTGCATAGCTCCAGTGGCTTCCTAACACCGGAAGGAAGAGAGTTCCAGACGGCCACAGAAGCGCACCTGAAAGTGCGCGATGCATTCACTGTTTTTGTCCGATGGTTAAGCCAAAAGCCGCTGCGAGGATGACCGGATTTTATCGTGATGGTGTACGCTCCTTGACGAGATCAGCAAGGTAAATAGCTGCTCGCAAACAGCGATGACCTCAAATGCTACACGGGGGAATCTTTGTCTCTCTGTTGGTGGATGCAGTTTGACCACCCCTGTGGTTTACCCGGATTTGCTCATCATGCCATCCGTAATGATGACATCACGCCCACAGGATGGGCAACTACCCCGAGACATCGCAATGTCAAAGCAACGTTTCCCTGAGAGAGAGGCTGTGCTGTCGCAGTGTTGACTCGTGACGCCTATTTATGGAAACGGCTCCTGACAAGTCGCTATCAAATATTCCCAGCTCAGTCCAGCCATGCACCACTTTCCGACGTCGTTCTTGCCCAGATGGGTTTGGCGGTGTGCCGTGTTGTCGAATACGAATATATATTGAGTTGATTGCAAGAAGATTAGTGATGATGATAGCCTACAATCCTTTGTCAATTGTTATAATCAATTTCCTAAATAACTCCTCGACAATCGCACAATTCTCCTCTCCCTTGCTCCACTGGTCGAGCGTTTCATGCTCACTGATCAACAGTTGCGTGCAGTTTACACTCTTATGATTTTTCGGGTTGATCGAGCGTATTGGTTGAGAGTTGCACATGGACCGTTTTGAGTGCCGTCGTTATTGCAACATGTGAATCTCTCATGGCCGTGAGTAAAAGATATTGTGATCAGTGCCGCTTATTGTCAAAGGCCATTGGCGGTCACAGGGAACCGTTAAAATACGTCTAGTAATGTGTTAATTCTTTTTATGTATTGCCGAAAATTTCAGTTGGTGCTAATTTTTGTTTTGGTAAAAAGTAAAAAAGACAAAACTATAAAATACTAAAATATATATACCGAGGGCTGCAGAAATGTAGTAATTATTGGTACCGGCTTACTGCCTGGCTTTTGCGTCTAAGCTTATCTGATGTTAGATGCACATTACGTGAAGGATGACGCTCTATACATCTAAACATTATTATTGCCTGCATTTAATTCCAATCGGTTGTCATAAACGGCTGTGTTTTCAGTAAGAACTGAGATGGTTAATATTTTCTGCATTTGTAATAATGACTGTTTATTCGAGCCAATTGTTCGTGAAATTAAAACAATCCCCCGTGTGTCTGCGAATATCTTGGGGCGAAGGTGCCACACCACCTTGTCTGACTCGCGTGTATGTCGTTACTGTGTCCACCCAATCATTTTTTGTAAGCGGTTCAACCTTTTTCTTTTATTTTATTTGGGAGTCAGTTTCCTAAGAGCTTTCGCTGACTGCATCACAGCTATCTGAATCGAATGTTTTTTTCTTCATTTTAAATGAAGGCTCGGCGTAATAGGATATGATGTTAGTCTATACCATAATCCAATTAATAATGTGTATGTGGTCAATGGTTAAACGTGGCTTGCCTGTGGATTTTGCCCCCTAAATTCCCCGTAAGATCCTTGTGAAGAATGTATATACATGTGCGAAGAGACTATTGGCTCTGTAATTCTTGAATTCTCTTTTTCATCTTTTTAATAGAATACAATGAGTCGTCATTCTGTAATTGAGGGCTTTAACGTCGGTGTAAACATACATTAAATTGCTTTCATTAATTTAATTATCTTAACAGTTATACCATCTGGCCCGGGAGCTTTCGTGAAGTGAGGGGGTAGTGTTTTGTTCACACTCGCACATAGATATTACTCGACAACCGTGATGACGTTCGGTGTCGGATGAAAACTTCACAATGTAAGCTGTGCTCACTAAAACTGTCATTTGGGATGGCTGTGACAATCTGTGTTAACTCAAGAATTCCCAAAACAAGGCCCACCCGCTGGCGAATCGTTATACATTAGTCGTGTTGTTGTGATGTGAACGTGTGTCAAGTGGGAGTTTGATTTTATTTCAACTATTCCACCGAGCTCAGCAATGCTATGTGATTAATGAATGTGGCACTGCATCAATGGTTTTCGTGCGGTTTTACTTTGTCTCTTTAGAAAACGTGGCTGGCTGTCCGTGAACAACTGCATCTAACGTCCTACCTAGTGCGTGGTTGAATTGTCAATATAAATAAATGCATTGTATTTGGATTTAGGAAAGCCACCGAGCTGCCTATGTATTTGTATTCAAATGGAATGTTTAAGAACAATATCGTTTAATATTCGTAAGAAGTAGCCGCATCACAATCAAGAATTTATGATCGATTTTTTTTTGTATTTGGTGACTTTTTTTGTAACGTACATTCGGTGTTTTACTCTTTACAAAACCTTGCCGTTATTCTGCTGGTGGTCATTGCCAATGACTTGTGCATGATGTCTTGTTTGCTTTTGCAAGTTCATTGGGAAATAAATGCCTTTGTGGTGTTCCACGTAACGGTTCTGTTCTACGGTGATTTCCACGCGTCTCATTGTGGCAGCTTTCTCGCATGTCGTGTTGTATAACTGGTGACGCCTAATTTAGCCCACAAAATGCCCTTCGAAAAAGTGTGTGGTGATCAAAATAACAAGACATCTTTGGATTCAGGGAGATGTAAATCATTTGTTATGGAACCGTATATCCCCTTTTCCATTGGCACATCTTAGCCACACCAGCATGGGGCTCTCAAAGCATGGACAGTTTTCCACCGGCCATTTGCTATGCTGAGCCGTGACCAAACAGTGACACGGCTGGCCTCACAAAAAAAAAACATCGGAATCTACCTTGGGGCCAAGAAGGGCCAAAGGGACAGGTCGAAGTTGATGCATTCATTGCGTGCGACTTCAGTCGGTAACACTGTGAGGAAGACGGCACACCATCTACCTGCGCGTGTCCGACTCGCGCGTTCGTTTATTGCGCCTGCGACTTTAGCGGCACGGCTCGGCTTTTGCGGTGGAAAGAAAAGAAAAAAACAACCTGGCGCCTCCTGAGCCGCACCGGGACTGCCTCGGCACGGCTCCGGCACCACGACTCGGCGGGTTTTAACGACATATTTATATATTTAAGCGATCTAACCCAAAACAACTCTATTGTGGATGAAACCACGTGCGTGTCTTTCAAAATGCGGCATCGAGCCCGTGGTTAACAAAAAAAAGACATACTCTTTGGTTCTATTCGGTAAAGTCACGTAGGTAAAAATAAAATAACAAAAATCACGACGTTTCGGCCACAACACAAGTGGCCTTCATCAGGTGAAGGGACCGGACTGTCCAGAGGACAGCGTTGGAGTGAAGACAGCCAAGCCCAGGTCGCGTCCTTTAAGCTGTGTGGGAGGAAACAAAAAACGCCTTGACAAAGGAATTAGCATAACAATGATGTACTGGACCGGCACGGTGGGGGGGGGGGGGGAGTTTACATAATGTTGGTGTGAAGGGAAATAAGCTGCTGTGAAAGTTTGGGATACCACTACTTGAAAAAATATACTGTACCATTGAAAATTAGTTTAATGTTTGGTTTGATTTAGAACATCTTTCCAATGATTGCTTAATTATTAAATTTTTAACCTACGTGACTTTACCGAATAGAACCAAAGGGTATGGATCCTTGCAGTCACGAAAGCTTCACATCTAGAAAAAAAAAAGACATCACGAGCCCCACTCCCACCCACCTTCACAGCCGTGGCCGAGGTAGGACGTGCCCGTGTTTGGCGTTAGGGCCCAACGGCGCGTCCAGGTACACGCTGGTCTCCAGCGAGTAACTCCGCGGTGAGTGCCCCCGTCATCTGTTCCTCCTTGCACTTGGTCCCCATGGATTTGTTGTTTTGCAGCCACCAGCTGGAAATGATGGAACTGGCAAAAGGTGTGTGTGGTTTCTTTTTGAGCCGCTCATGAGTGCCTCTTTGTGATGACGTGTCTGCCTCCGAACGCGTCTGTTGTAACCACGTTTACTATAATTTAATCCATGAAGAGATTCTGTGACAAATTTAGGTGTTTTGGCAGTGAAAACGTATCAAAGGGGCAATTTTTTCACTCTCACAATCCCCCACTCTGCGTCGATCACCCAGGTCGTTTTTTTTTAATCTTTGGATAAATATATCTGCTGAGTTCATTGTTTACAGATGTGCAAAAAGTGGACTTTGAGCCAAGTCATTTTTTGGATTGTTGTGAAGGGTTTCGACACGGTTGGCCACTTACAGTGCGCGAAAAGAAGTTCAACATACGCACATCCAGAGAGGTGATGGCAGTGCGGTCCGTGGTTTCCTGGATCATCCCTCCAGACGTCGGTGTGGTGACGTTATGACTCTATATGATGATTGTGCTTGCAAACAATTATCGACCCAATTTCCTTCTCAAATTCGCATCGAGGTAGTACTCACCTCCTGCTTGCAGACCTAAGCCAGTGGTGGAAGTTCCTCATTCCAATGGCGGGGGCACGAGTCGATCCACATGACATCTACTGCGGGCTTGCCCACGAAGTGGTACTTCTTTAATCGACCCTGGAAGGATGATTGGCCGAGGCGACCGAATCTACCAGCAATTGAAACCCGCAACTTTGGGATTACGAGCCGCTCGCTCTACCATGCTGGCTTGTGACATGTATAAACAATAATGCTGCGTAATGTTTTTAAATCATAATCCTATTGTCAATATTTGAAAGCGAAATTTACCAAGCTAACCTATGTTACAGAAATATTATTTCACGTAATATTGAGACATTTTCGTGTGCAGTCGTTTTGATGTCTCCTGCAATGTTATTTGGTTCTACTGATGGGACCTCCCTTGCCAGTATCAAAATATGAGAATAGGTTTTTCCCTTTCTGGCAATAAAACAGGTGCTTAACAAAAAAAACGTGCTCTGGTAGTCTCTGATGTGGACCAATTAGTTTCAAAGACAATGCATAAACTACCAGAGCATGTTTTTTTGTTTGCATGTTCACCATAAGTATATGTGGTTAATGTAGACATGATTCCTTGCGAAAGGTTTCTGTTCGGTGTTTTAACATCTTAGCACAACTGTTTTATTGCCAGAAAGGGTAAAACCTTGATTTAAAGCTTTCGTGACTGCAGTAATTCATATTCTTAGTTCTTTCGGTAAAGTCACGTTGAAGGGAAACAACAAAATAATAAAATATATATAAAACAATAAAAATTCTCACGACGTTTCGACCATAACACAAACGGTCGTCTTCAGGTGTGTCGGTTTGCATAAATGTATTTATTTTTAAGCGATGTATGTATATATTTATTTATTAAAAACACACGTTAGCGCCAGCGCAGCGATTTGGCAGCTTATTTAGATGGACTAGTCCATCTATGTTCTGAAAAGAGGAGGGGGGAGACGAATTTTTTTTTTATATATGCTGTCTGAAAGCCACTGTAAGCGTGAACAATCAATTAAGACCTGAAATGGTTTATCAAATCTTTCCAATGATTGCTAAGCCAGAATCCATCTTCTCGGTTGAAATTGTCTCTGTGCTTGTATATGTGGATAGCCTCATGAACGAATCTCTCATGGTAGCCAGATGGCTTACAAAGAACGTCCTCTTTTCAGAACATAGATGGACTAGTCCGCCTAAATAAACTGGCAAATCGCTGCGCGTGGCGCTAGCGTTTTTTTTAATAAATAAATACGCCGTTTGAAAATAAATAAATTTATGCAAACCGACACACCTGAAGACGACCGTTTGTGTTATGGTCGAAACGTCGTGAGAATTTTTATTGTTTTATATATATTATTATTATTTTGTTGTTTCCCTTCAACGTGACTTTACCGAAAGAACTAAGAATAGGGTAAAACCTATTCTTATGGCTTTACTGATATTGTATTCTTTGTCGCTGTGATATTGTTTCACCCGCTTTCATATTGTTGGTGACCAGGGTTCAGAGTCTGGTTAATGAGACTGGTGAAGTTAAACTAAGCAAAATTATACACAAAAATGCACTTTGTCGCTTTCGGACACAGGACATAATTTTTTTTGTTTGTAACATTAAGGAACATTTTTTACGTAATATTAGTTCAGATCGCTGGCCAAAATATAAAATTACATTATTCGCAAATCAATAATTTAATATGAATGAACAAACTGTTTGAATCCTGCATGAAAAAAATAATCTTACGTTAACAATGCTTATCAATAATTGTGCAATTATGTGATAGCCAAAGAATGGAACGTGTCCGAGTGCACGGGCACAGAGGAGATGGAGCGATAGAATTAGGTACGAGGCAGATTTATTGTAGCATGGCAGGATAGTGATAGATCTTGGCAGCTTGGAGAAACGTTCATCCAGCAGTGGATTAACCAATACTGATGTCAGCTAAGTAGAGGATACCCCCCCCCCTCCCCCTGTTTAAAGTGAAGGTGTGACACCTGCTGGGTCATGATTGGTTGGCCACAGATTAGATTGAAAATGAATGGCAGCGATTACATCCTATTAGCCATGTCTGACATGAGTTCCTGGAAAAATCTCAACAAGCTCTTAACTTTGATTAATCTGCAGTTCCCTGAGGTGGCTGGGTGGATTGGGGGTGGACTCTTACTATTTCGACGCATTGAGCCGGCACTTCCGAGAGCCTGGGTTACAATCCGGGTTTTTCGCCACCCGTAACTAAAGCCAGATTCCCAAGCGTGGTGTAATGGTCAGCGATAATGAACCACACCAACAGTCGATAGGTAGGCTGCATGTGGTGGGATGAAGTGTGGGTACGACCACCTCGTTAAAGTAGTCTGACCAGTGTGAAAGAGTAGCCAAGAATTATCTGCATAAGTGGCTCTGGAGTTCCCTCTCGTGGAGGCCCTTCTGCCGGCGGTTACGTGAGCAGGGCATTGCAGGGCTGCACTTTTATCTTTTGTAGCGAGTTGTGTGGTCTTGGGTCAGCAATGGCTGGACGTAAACGTGACGTCACGTAAAATTATTATTTTTTTGTTTTACTTCACTTGCCAAAAAATTCCAGCTCGGATGAAATATTATTGTTAGAAATGTAACGAATATCCGTTGCGAAGTGTTTAAAGGTGTGACCCTGGGGGTGGATAAAGGGGACCATTGAAGCGTCTTCAAAAGTAGTTCTGAAGACTCATCTTCTGTGGGCCATTCTCCACCACAGGGCGTGGGTGCTCCACGATCGTTATCGGAATGTATTTTGCGATGTTGTTGCGTTGGCAGTGGTGCCACAAGCCCGATTAATACTAATTTTAAAAGGAGGAATATACAACATGCGATGTGTCCATGAGTAGCTCTCCTTAATGACTCTTCAAGCACAACATTTTCCAGTCGACCATTTATTTGGTAGTTCATAGATACGCAACAAACACAAACGTACAACGCGTGTAATTCTAGTTTACCCTTTTGAGGATACTTTAGTTAAATAACTATTTCATCGCTTTGTTCTCAGTAATGAAAATACAATGATTGATATAAATTATACGATGACTCCACAGACCCACAGTAACATGCCTCCAA